TAACTGTCTTATGATGCAGTGGCGCAAGCAGTAATGGGCACCTGTTGGCATGCTCGTGTGTCACCACTGCTATGTGAGCTGCATTGGTTGCCAGTCGGCTTCCAAGTGCAATGCAAGGTCCTGGTTATTACCATGTATGGCATAGGGCCTGGATATCTGAGGGACGGTTTGTCTCCAGTTGTTTCTCCCTGACATGTTTCGACACAGTGGATGCACTCCAGGTCTCCTCTATTAAACGTTATTTTGCAGGACTGGGGAAGTGCTTTTTCTGTTTCTGCCCCACCCCCCGGGACAGGACCCCCCCCCCCCCGAAATAAGGATGCACCTTCTTTCCTGGGGTTCTGAAAAGCTCTCAAGACCTGGCCTTGGGGGGCACTGTTTTGTTTGATTTGTGCTGTTTTCAGATTGTTTTAGTTTGGGCTGTTTGTGTGGTTTTGTTTTATCTGATTTTATGAATTTTGGAGGGTAATGTACATCACCCAGAGTCCATTAGAGTTGGGTGTCTATAATTTTTTATTATTATTTTGCATCCTTTGATCTCTTGAAAGTGGAGGTTATATTGATGTTTAGCACATCTGAAGCCTTAGTCTTTCTGATATCATTCCTGTACATTTAATCTATACTATTGACTCCTCTTTGATTATATGTCCCTTCTTCCATGTCTAGTACATGTCACAGCTTAGCTCATTAGAACAGCTACATTGGGTTCTTTAGATTACCTTCACCGTTTTTCTACAGTTTTGGTAATTGTGAGGGTTTTAAGTATTTAAGTTTTCAAGTTTGTCCAACTTTCTTGAACTCTTTTTTCCTTTAGCTATTGGATCCTAACCAACTTTTTTTGGGGGGGATACTTATTGTTGTGGCATTTGGGCTGTAGACTGCTCCTCATAGTGGCATTCATTGTGACCCCAGTGTGTCTCCTTCTCCTTCTCCTTCTCCTTTTCCTTCTTCTCCTCCTCCTCCGTTGTTGTATCTCACCTTTATTTTGTGCAACTCACAGTGATGAATGTGCTTTTCCCACCTCCTATCTTCCCCATATTAACCCTGTGGGATGGGTTGGGCTGAGAGAAAGTGACTGGCCCAAAGCCACTCAACCAGTTTTCATGTCTATGGGGACCTAGAATGCATGTTCTCCTGGCTTCTAGGCCAGCACCTTAGCCACCAAACCACACTGGCTCTGATATGTGTTGAGTATTATACTACATGCAGTAGGGACACCTTTTGTTCTATACTTTTCTGCCCCTAAGAGACACACAGATCAGATTCCCATATTGTGCTAAACTATAGTGTGCTTGGCTTGGATTAGGGTTAGTGTTTTGTGTGAAGTCAGCAATTCTGATTTGTAGATCAGCGTTTATAGCTAAACACGGGGTAAAAATAGAGCCAGTTGTGATTTATTCTACTTATAACTGCATATCTGTATGCCACTCAATGTCAAAAAGGCTTTTAGTTGATGGATATACCAGCCCAGCCCATAGATAGATGTTGAAATCCAGCTGACAAGAAACAAAAGAAAACACAAATTGTTTGCTGTCAACTGAGGCATGGGAAAAGACTGGCAGCAAAATTGCTGTTTGGAAGTTTGTGTGTCATAAAAAGTAGCAGTATAGGAAGCCTTGTTGTATAGTGGCTCATGTCTGCTATGCCAGTAAGGGCTAGTTGGGTGTAGAGGTTAAAGCACCAGGCTAGAAACTGGGAGACCATGAGTTCTAGTCCTATGAACTAGACTGGCATGAACCCAGCTGGATGACCTTGGGCCAGTCACACACTCTCAGCCCTAGGAAGAAGGGAAGGGCCAACCACTTCTAAAAAACCTTGCCAAGAAAAATGCAAGGTCCAGACAGCCACCAGGAATCAGGACTGACTTGAAGGCACCCTGCCCCAAAAAACCCCCCTATCCCAGTAGCAGCTAGTGGATACATTTAACTTTTATAAGGCAATCCTGCCCAAGTTGTAGAGGGGAAAGGGGCAGATTAATACCTTAACAATAATCAAGGGCAACAAAGGAATAGCTGGCACACCAACTACCTGTTTGGTGGCTCGTGGCGCAGCAGCGGTGATGGAGCTTGCAGTGTCTGGGAGGCCTTGGAGGCACTTGGCAGCAGATCCTTCCTGGCAGCAGCAACATTTGGCGACAGCAGATTATTTTTCAGAAAACGCTCACAGGCTGCACAAGGTTGCTTGGCAGGCTGTAGTTGTGCAGGCCTGCTATAAGGTGACATAGAGAAGGAGGCCTGTTTCTGCCTAAAGGGCATCTCCTCTCCCTCTGCAACCAGCATCTGCTCTGAATCAAAAGGATCTTCGGAAGGAGCAGCAGGGTGGTGCAGTGGTTAAGGAATTGCACTAGGTGCAGAGGGACCCAGGTTTGAGTTCACCTTCAGCCGTGGAAGCTCACTGGGTGACTTTGGGTCAGTCTTTTAGCCCAGCTTACCCTACAATATGGTTGTTCTGGGAAAAATAGGAAGACTAAGCTCTGCTTGACCTCCTGAATGAAAGGCTGAATATAAATTTGAATGAACAAACAAACAAATAAATGAATATTTGCCTTTCTGCTGCACCTTGAGGTCAAAATAGTTAAGTGGGAATATGGCTCTGAAATCTGAAATCTTACTAATCAGAGCATATTCACTCATATCATCCAAGTGGATTACTTTGCAGTCCAAAACAAGTCTATTATTCGGTACTAAGGGCAATTTACAAGGGTTAGCTCACAGTAAAGTATAAATGTAAATGAAGTTCCTTTCAATTCAGAGCAGATGCTAGTTTTAGAGGGAGATGAAATGATGAAATCATAAGGAGCATAAAAGTGACAAGGAATGATAAGGTTAAAAAAAGAAGGAGCTTAGTTGGCATCACAGCTGTTGAGCCCTGGTGATTGCATCTTAATGAGGGAGGATCCCAGGATATCTGGTGCATGCAGAGCCCTCTGGGATCACCTGGGATCAATCTGCATTCAAGCTTGGCTAAGCACCAGGGGATTATAGGATTGAAGCAGCTGGGAGGGGGATCGGTCACAGTCATTACTATGCATGGGAAAAACCAGAGGTAAGCAGGATACCTTAGTTGAGGGTCTGAAGTAACAGACAGACTAAGAGGCACTTGGGGCAGAACAAGGCTCTGTTTCAAATGGCTATTTTCCCATTCCAGTTTACATACCTAGAGAACACCACTTCCTTTACAATCATTTTCACAAGAGGACACTTGCTAGAGCTGACAACAAGTCTGGCCGTGCTGATTTTTCAGATCATTTAAGACTTAAATCTAACCTATTTTTCCCTACTTTTCCATTTTATAGAATGATACAGTAACTATATGATGGAACATCTGCATGTAAAAATGATCTGTATTG